CTATTAGATAGATATGATACAAACCACTGCAGTGCAGTACCTGTAATACCTACAGCATGTTCTAATCGCTCTAATAGGATATTATGGTCGACAGTCACTCTACATAATGCTGGATCTCTTTCCTCCAGCTGAAGCGTTTTTTGACAAACTGAATTAGATTTTTCATCTGAATGAATATGTTTCCTTAACTTCTGTAACTGAGTAGTTTTGTATGAACACATCTGGTCCAGAGACTTTGTGTTTTAAGTTAAAAAATTAATAACAATTTGGAAACGGAAATCTCACCTGACGACTGGAGATCAACGTGTGCTGGAGCTCACTCTCAGAGATTACACACCTCAGAGTAACAAACTATAACTGGTGAATGCAAACATGTTTATCCCCTGCCTACTTAAACCAGCATAAAGGGGGACAAACCTCCTTGAGGACCAGGATCTGGTCAGCTGTCCTCAGATGCTGGAGCTGGTGTGTGATGAGGATACGACACTTGTTCTTCAGCAGGCCACAGATACACCTGGTTTTGATAAATAAGAGGGGTTTTCTGCACGTTTGTGACTGTTGCTTTGAAATAGTTCCATATAAATAAAACTGAACTGAATGGAACTAAAACAGTTCACATGAACTTCAATCATGCAGTTTGTACTGTCGAGCATAAGCACGATTCTCGACACCATTATTAATCAGGGTATACAGATAATTAGCACCGAACTCTTTATTACTCACTGCTCAAAAAGATGTTTTCCAACTTCTGCATCCACAGCACTTAAAGGGTCATCCAGGAGGTAGATGTCTGCATCCTCATACACAGCCCTGAAAACAAGGACACACAGTGGGGGAATCTTATTTGTCAGGAAAAAGACTGAACTTTCACATAAACTATAGCAAATGTAACAGCACAAGTGTGTGCATGCAGGGTAAAAATACATGCACCCCAACATCTAGCTACTTGTTGCCTCTAGTTTAGGTTCCTTAGAAACTCAGACTAACATTTGAATGCGTCACGGTGATACAATACGTGTAAGTTTTCTTCTAGGTAGCGTTCTTACTACATGATGTCCATGTACCTTGCCAGGTTGACACGAGCTTTCTGTCCCCCACTGAGTGTGGCCCCTCTGTCCCCGATCAGTGTCAGATCTCCATCTGGGAACAGCTGCAGGTCCTGAATTTGAAACAATGGAGGCGTAACTTGCCTACAATCATCAAGGGCATGAATGTCATGATAATTTTGAGTTTTTAATGATTTATTTGAATTGTTCTTTTTCCAGAATGAAACGATTGTACAGAAAAAAGGCCCTGCTCCAAAGTCAACACCTTCAAGCTTGATTGAAATTTGCCGTTCCCCCACATGGACAAACAAATAGCTTCTGATAAAATGTTTTATGGTCAGACAAGAGAAAGACTGAGATGTTAGACCACAAT